TATATTTACCTATATACTTTTTAAAGGCCCTATATACTAAAAGACAGGAAGAGGAAAGGAGGGAGTGGAAGGGGAGAAAAGCCTCCGAATGGATCAGTTTGCCCCAGTGCAGGAATTTCCTACCCTGTAGTGGTAAAGGCCACGGCAGCCATGTGCAGTGGACAAGGTACTAGTTTAAAATGATCATGGGTCTCCCTCCCTATCCAATCTGAAGCTCTTCATTGCAATGAAGGGGGAGAGTGAAATACTTTAAGAAACAGAAATATTCCTGAAGTGGGGAAGGTGATCACTAGTTTCAACTCCTCCCCTTACCTGCTTCAAGGTGGCAAGAGCTGAGAGAGACTATCACTTCCAGCTCAAGTGCCCATACAGCTAAGAAAAAGGCTTTGCTTAAAAATATATATCTATAGAACTATACATATAGATCATCTTTTTAGAGACACTCTGATTTTATTACATAGCTCCTGGGTCACTCTCCCCCTTTATCTACATGGTAACGGAGTGGCATACAACAAAAGCCACATACACCAAATTGGTAATCAAAGCTTACCAGGTCACAAGAAAGTGTTTCAACTGGTGCGATCTAAAATCCTGAATTCCCTTGCTTTGATAAGCTGATGTCCTGCTGTTGATGGAAGTGGAAGGTCTTAAAAATAAACTTCCCCTATCAGGTTATGACTATTTCCCAGCAATATTACAGTGTGCGACAATATGCTCTAAGTAAGGAAAATTTCATAGAAGAAGAATGATGCAAAGATGAAATTCTAATCATGTATGCCTATGGCTGGGAACCCCCAAGCATCATCCTGCAATATATAAATGCAGGATTTCTAAGGTTAAGGACTTTTTTAAAAAAAAAGTTTTCTTCTTTTTTCCAATATAATTTGTATGCAAGCATTAGCTTAACAGTGGAAACTTAGTACAGAACTAGACTCTCCCAAAAAGATATGTCTATAAAGAAACACTGAAGGAGGTTGAAAAAGTGACAACTTTCAGTTTGTTGTATTTAAAAAACTGGGACTAAAATGCACCCCCAGCCACTGACAAAGGGTCACGAATCAGTGGAAATGCAATTTTAAAGTTATAGCCCCAAGAAAAAAAAAAAAAAACCCAAACAAAAAAGCCAAAAACATCCCCACTCTTAAGAAAGCAAAAAAAATTAAGCATGACTTCTGTTAAGGATTGACCTAGCAATGCAAACAGGTCGGAGAGGAACAACATGCCCGCGTTTCCCCCAGGACACATCGCACCCAGGCAACGGGGGCTGTTTCGTCTCCTCTCCTCTCTCCCAGGCTTCAGGCAGTCAGCCAGGCTTCCCTATGGACAGCTTGGAAACACCAGGGAGCTGGGGTGATGGCAGGAAGAGATAAGTACAAATGAACAAAAATGCTAAATCCTGCTTCAGCATCCAATTACATATATAAAAAAAGTCCATGTTGAAAAAGAGAGTAAAAAACAAGGCAAAGTTTTCTGATAACAGGCTGCAGCCTTCTCCTCTGTGTATCTTCCACCAATGTTATTTCCGAGTTACGGGGGCTGGGGAAGGGGGAGGAAGGACTTGATCTCCTGCTACAGCAGCTTTCCCCATCACACAAAACTGATGTGTAACTAACTCAGCCACAAAGATACGGGAAAGTTTTATTTATTAAAAAAAAAAAGAAGAAATAAAAATGATAAAGTATTGTATGGTAGTATTAGAAGTATTTATATACATAGTTTTCTTTGTTGTTGACATGTCTCCTTGTCACTTGGTGGCACTTGGCGTCCCCTCTAGTGCCATCCGCCCTGCTCCCCCCTTCCCCTCCCCAGCTCTCACGGCTCAGTAGACGGAGCTGTTCCTTATGCCACAGCACAGCACCATGCTCAGGATCATTTCGAAGATCTGTCGGGAGACACAGGGGCACCAGTGAGGCACTGACCAGTACGATGCAGGAGCTCCTCCACCCTCTCCCAAGGTCCCACGCCCCACATAAACGCACTCACGCCAGAGATAAAGGCAGACATGCTATGTCTTTGCTGCCGTTTTCATTAGGAGTTGGCCCATTCGAGACAAGATGATGTTCTCCCCTCTCTCGCTGGCAGCAGTGGTGCTACGTTGCAAGCCTCCTGGCTGCCAGCTACACAGCAAATGCTTCAAGATCCCTCCGGCATTACAGCCCAGCCTTTGCGCAGGCACTGGGTTACCAGCTCACGTCACCCACCGCTCACTGGGGAGCAAATCCACCGTGGCAAAGAAAGGAAATCCCTTCCCACTGCAGACCCCAGCGACGAAACACAGCGGCCTGAGAAACGAGCGGTTTTGGAGGCAGCAAGGAGGCTCGACAGTGCTCCGCCCTTCTGGATGGGGTTGCAGGTGCTCCTGCTTTACTGTGCTCATCGGGCGCCCGCCCTAACATCCTGACCCCCTGGAGGGATGACGAAGCCCTCAGTCTCACCACATCCCTGAGCAGCTGGGTTGCAGAGGGCTGGCGCAGCACGCTAAGCCACAGGGGCATCTGGAGGACAGGGACAGATCCAGCCCAGCTGGAACAGGACTGGGGTACCCCAAGGTGGCTTTTCCCTGTCCCACAACAGCAGAGTGCTGCACAGTCACACTTACCATGATCACGGCGACCACGATGGCAGCAATACCGATCAGGTACAGCTTCCCAGAGAACAGCTCGTCGATTTTTTTGTGGCAGGTTGAGGGCTGAAGCAGAGAAGCATGCTGGTCAGAGAGCCTGCTTTCCCCTCGCCCACCCCCAGCACCCAGAAAGGCAGGTCTGCTTCCCTCCGGTCCCGCTCGTGTTCCTGAGTCCTGGCTCTAGGACTTTCCACCAGACTTCACCCCTCCGTGCCTGCCAGCCCCCTCAAGCAGGACAGCAAAGGAAGAACAAATGGGAACCTCCGACATCCCCCTACGCCATCCGCAAATATATGAAATCCCTGCCCTTTATCTAATTCCCAATAAATTCCCAAATTTCCCTGGCAGCCAAGTTTCCTTGCAGGAGCTGCGCAGAGTGAAGAACAGCCATGCCTACCTCAATAATGCGTTTCAGGGAGGTGCTGTCTGGGCAGAGGTCACGTCTCCACAGGGGAGTGATAGTCTCCATTATATTATCGGGACCACAGCAGTCCAGCTACATGAAGAGAGGGAAAAAAAAACCCAACAAAAAACCAGCGTTATCAGACAGCAAACACTCATGCAATGCTCTCCCCACCATTAAACATCCTTGACGCCACCCAAGACCAAGGAGGCATCTTAGAGGGGGAAACAAGGGAGGGGGAATAACTCTGTCCAAATTCAACTTTTTTTCTTTCCATGCAATGCAGCTGCTTCCTACAATAGTCCCAGACAGGTCTGGCATTGGTATCCTGGAGGAGAGTGCTCATTGCCTCTGCCTTGGTAAGGAGAATCAGTCTATGCGCAGCAACAGTTGCTCCTCACCACTTACCCACTGACAAACTGCATGGAGAAGTTAACGGGGTATAATTCGCAGCATGCAGGATCCTACCCATCAGCAGTTGCTTTGGCCAACTGCATGTAGCCTAAGCAGAGCATGCAGCAAGACCACCACCATCTTACCGTTTCATGAAAGGTCTTCACTACGGTTTTCGCGTTGTTTGTCTCCGGATCTGCCATGAGCGCTTGTTGAAACGCTTGATCATAGAACTGCTTCACATCTTTGGCTATCTAGGAAAGACATGAAAAACTGTTTCAGCCAGAGGAGAAGGAGGAAACCCAATCAGCAGATGTGCCTGAAGGGGACAGGTTCCCTCTAATGGCACTCTCGGGTAGATGAGCAGTTTTTAAATAGATTTGGACCCTGTTTATTTGCACAGGTGCGTGAAAAAAGGCCTGTCTTTCATAGGGCTCAAGTCCCTCCAGCCATAGCGTGTTAAGAGCAGCAAATATTAAGAACCCCATCCACCAGCCAGCAGGTTCCAGCCAACGCTATCCAAGTGCTCCGTGAGCTCTCTCTAGCAGGCAAAGACAGCCAAGGCCCGCAGGGTGAACCACAAGATCTGAGATAGCCTTCAGTCCGTGTGGATTTGCTGTTGGGCTCAGGAATGCAGAAACGGCTTGTTCTGAACCACCCAAAACATGGAGACAAAGCAAGCAGGCAACATGTTTCCCCACTGAGGCGGTAGAGGCAGGACACACTGGGGAAGTCAGGAGGAGGTGGGGTGTGCAAGCAAGGCGCAGGTATGGGCACCCTGGCTCCCTGACTGGCTCAGAGGGGATGGCAGGAATTTGGGAGGGATTGCACACTAAAACCTAGCGAGGCGGCTCATTTGGGTCAGGAAGCTTAGGTGCCTTTAGATGGATGTCAAACTCTGGCTGGGTCCCTACCTGGAGCTGGGCACCCCCACCCTGTAAATGGTTATATGAGAAGTTTCATCCGTACTCTAGCCCTGCCACCTAAGCTAGTAAACTGCAGCCACCTATGGGGGTCTGCTCCACAATGCAAAAAAAACCCTCATTTTCAGGGAAACTGGCTTTTTGGCTTCTCCTCTAACACCATCCAATAATTTGGGAGAGACAGATGAAAGGAGGACATGCAAGAGAAGCAAAAGAAAAAAATACGAGCAACTACAAAAGGGAAAATGCTTTCCAGAACATCTGCTCTTGGCAGCACAGGCTGGATTAGCACACAAAAAAAGAAACTGCAGCAAGAAGGAGTGCGATTTCAATCAATTATCCCAGCATTTCTCCGTCACTGCTCAAAAAAGTTTGCTTTCGAGAGTGATGTTCTCCGATCAAACCATTCGATTCTGGTACATGGGAAAAATAATAATCCTACTTCTTGTGTCCCTATCCTGTATCTAAAGCATCTCCAAGAAGGCAGGCAGAGGGAGAGACTGCCTCAACTTCTTGGAAGAGCATCCTGTGCCCGTGTGATAGGAGATGACTGTCCCCCCAAGGAGCTGCAAACCCAGGTGGCACGGAGTCCCTGCTTGGAGCTGCTCTCGGTGGCTGGGATCATTCAGCACTTCCCTCCTAGCCCCACATTGCTCCTGCGATGCCCCCGATGGAGGCAGGGAGAAGCAAGCTGCCTGCCTTGTGAGTGGCGACTTCCAAACAGCCCATTCATCATCAAGGCTGCAAAAGCAGCCGAGGCCAACAGACTGCCACCGTTCATTTTAAACTGCAAAATTAATTTTAGGAGCTGAGGTCATCACTCTTGTATTGGCAAATCCTAAATTTCTCAGCTTTATGCTCTGATGGCCAAGCACCTTCTCCCCAGCATGGAAAGCAACAGCCATGGGGTCCCTCCTTACTTGGGCTTCACTTTTTTTGCTCTCAGTTCAGTTGCACATCTTGGACTCTTCAGGATTTACAAACTAACATCTGCAGGAGGCACAGCCCCTCTGCAAAGGTTAATTAGCTCGCCAAAGTTGCTAGGAAACAGCACCCTGCCTGCATAATAATATGTTTAGCCATGGAAGAGTTTATTCTGGTGAAGTCATGCTCTCTCCAGTGAATGACTGCAAGGGTGTTCCCATTCACAGGCAAGCTGGTCATCTGTGGCCTACGTGCATGCGAAAGCTGAGCAGGCCACCACCTACTTAACACAGCTGGCTTACGTCTCTTAGTAAAGTAAACACATTTCCTACTCTGCTAGAGAGTCTAGCCTTGGCTTTGAGCACAAGCAATCTCCTTCTCTCCTCTAAACCCTTGATGGCTGAGTGATCAACACCCAGCCCACTGCTTGCTGGAGCATGGCCATGGTTCCCATACACTGATAGTTTTGCTCTTCAAGACCAAACTCAGCATGTGTGTGAGCACATGGGACTGTAGTGAAGGGGAGGTGAGCAGAAAGGGAAGGTGAAAAGCTGCAATTTTCAGTCCTACCCTTTAGCTAACCCCCTCCAGCCAAAGGATCTCATCTAAGCAGTCCCTAGCAGGGTGCCTGGGACAGACACACGACTTCTACCCCTCGTACATGCACAGCATATTGATCAGCAGCAAACTCAGTCCTGGCAAACAAACAGCCTGAAGCGGGTTATATGACACTGGCAACAAGCAGGAAGCATCACGCAATCCCATTAACACAGATGCAGGCTCTCCCCGTATGGTATTCCCTCACTTCGGGGCCATGTGGCTGGGTTCGCTCTTTGCTCTTTGGCACCTAGGATGTGCAGATGGCTCTCCTTCATGACATGAATCAACTCACACTGTGACTGACAGTGTGGCAGCAAGGAGGAGACCCGAGTGAGACAGGGCTATTTTTATCCCAGACATTGCACTATATACTGTTAAGGGGCAGCTGCTACCATCAAGTGCTCAAATTTAAAGTTCATCAGCCTGGCCAAGAGGAGTTAGGTGACCTGCCCGGATCACACAGCTAAACCAAGCCCCCATGACACAGCCTGGAGCAGCTTGCCAGCAAAACAGCTCACGCCAGGATCTGCTGCGGTTCTGCCCCAGCCTCCCAGTCCCACAAACACAGGTTTCGGAGTCATCTTACTTGGTCTTTGTTGACAAATCCCCAAATTCCAGCCGCAACTTCGCAGGCAAACAGGATCACCAGACAAGTGAAGAACTGCAAAGACAAAGCAAGAGAGGGACACTTAACATATCTGGCTACAGGCAAAAGCAGGAATTAGGTGGGTAGAGGTATGGAGCAGCACTTCTACTGATGGAGATCAGGGCACGGCGTCACCTGACTTCAAACCGTTTTATCTCTCATACACACGCTTAGCCCAAACACATTTTCCTATAACTCACTAGATGCCACCTCATGATCTAGACTTCCTGCTGGGATGGCTGAGCAAGGATTAGCAGAGCCCTTCCCACACAGGGACTGGCAGGGATGAGGATGCCCTGTGCACCACAAGACACATTGCTCCTCTTCATGCACCTGCAGAACTGTCCAGACAAGCTGCTTGGTGTGCCACAGATGCTCCGAGGATGGGAACTGCCAGCACAGGGTTAAAAGCACATTTCAGCTGCTGAGGAGCTGCAGGGTGTCAGGGTGTGATTTACGGCCAGCTCTCTTGGCATCCACAGCCCTGCAAGGCTACTGCAGTTTTTTGCATAAATACTAACACCGATGTTTTCCCACAGTCCCACCCTGTTCATGCAATTCCAGCACTCCTCCCTGCCATCCCCCCAAAGCCTACCTCCATCTTTTTGTTCCGATCCCGGGAACACGTTATGACAGTCAGTCTGTTAGACTGGGAATGGAAAGCTGTAAAGCTCATACATCAGAGTCAAGTGGGAAGGCACGGACAGGCATGCTCCACACGCAGCCGACATTACCTCTGTGACAACATCACCCTCAGTGACTTCTTCCTGAGAAAAGTCTTTGGCCTGACTCTCATGTGCAAGAGCAAAGGGTTATCAGCAAAATGGAAACAGGACTATTGACCTGACAGCAGGAAAGGACTTCCAACATCCTTGTCCAGTCCCAGAACAACGATCTGCTATTTAAATACCTATCTATCCCTGGTTCTCCAGGAACTTCCTTAGGGGACTGGCTCCCACGTCCCCCCAAGGAATCACATCACCCTAAATTGCAGGCCTGAGGCCGCTGTAATTCTCTGCTTAAGCACTAGGGCTCACTCTTGCAGTGGTTACCCTCCAGTGAAAGATGGCTCGTTTATCCCAGACTTGGAGGTACAACTTCCCGCAGACTCAGCTCTGCGAGCTGGCTGCAAAACATCAGAGATGCAGCTTGATGCTATGGGAACATGACAGTGTTCCTGGCCTGGTGTTTGGATGTGCCCCTGCCCCTTCCTGGGGAGCAGTGCCTGCTCCATGCCAAGTGGCTCCCTCCTGCCTTCCTTGGGTCTTGCCACTCAGCTTCCATGCTGCCTTCGGCACAGGATTTTGACAGCATGGAGGTTCCCGGTCCGTTCCCCTTTTGCAATAAGCCTACAGTCACTCCATCCGCTGGCTGCAGGAGAAGGGAGAGTGTCTGCTTCCCTGCAACACCCTAAGGATGCTGCCTGGAAATGTTGTTGGAGCACGGCGGGAGCCTTGGCCAGCAGAAAGCGTCATCGCGAGGTGTCTCCAGCCTTCTCTTGGCAAGCCAAGGTGTGAGCAAACACGGGCAGCGCACAGTGGCTAGAGCTGCTAATTTCAGCCAAAGCAGCCAGTTTCCCTGTTGGGTCTCAGGTACGTTTTACCATCTGCCCTTCTAATCCTCTTTCCAACTTCAAGAGGGAGTCAGGGGTAATTCAGGTTCTGTAATCGCTTGCATTAACAAAAAAAAAAAAAAAAAAAAAAAAAACCCAAAGCTGCCAGCCCTTGCTACGACAGCCCCTGTCGGATTTGTGCACCAGCTCCTCCTATTCTCAGCAGCAGTGATAATGCCTGCAAACTCCTACAGCAGCTCTCATCCACCGACCTTCAGAAATGCTTTAGAAAAGCTGGTGAGAAGCAGTAAGAAATTGGGAAACAGAAGCAACTAGAGGTGAAGCCATCTCCAAGAGTAAGGGAAAGCAGCTCCATTTCCCTCTGTCCCAGTTGCATCCACACCCATGGGTCACTACACCACCACCAAGAATCTTCCAGCCCAATGAAGCCAAGTGCTGGAAAGTCCTTCCTAATTTTTTTTAATTTCTTTTTAATTTTTTTTTTTTATGTTTTACTCCTCCATTTTTTTTTTTTTCCTTTTTGCATTGACTTTAAAGCTGAACCACATGTGAGAATGTGTTTTAAATAAATGGGTTTCCCTTACCCCCAAGGCAAAGGCTTTTGGTGTGGCTACAGTTTATACAATTAAGCTCATCCCATGCCAGGAATCCCGAGCTGCTGCCTCACATCAAGGACGCCTGTAGCACTTCAGTAATGGATTTTCCAGGATGGACCTAGACGTCCTCACTAAGATATTGTGGGAAATCTTTGCTGTTTCCTTGTCCAAACAGATAAAAATAGAAAGAACTGGAATCACCACAGGCAGCCTTGAAACAGAGTGAAAGGGGAAGATGTAGGGGACATCAGGTAAGAAAGAATGTTTAGCGGGTGCTTGGTAAGACAGCTAGACCATGGCGGGGGAAAAAAGTATGGGGAGGGGTTCACATATAACAGAGAAAATGAATCTCCAAGAATCCTGCTGTTTGCACCTCTTCTGCTATGCTGCTGGCTTCAGCCTCTGTCCTGCAGCCAGGCACAAGCAGGAGCTTGCAGCATGCCTGCCAGCTCAGCCGGAGCTGAGATGCCCTCGGCCGAACAGCACTGCCTTGCTCCTTGCAGAGGTCAGCTGGTTCCCATCTACGTGCTCACGCATCCTCCCAGCCCTGTTCGTTGCAAAAGTCTCCTGCAAGGGAGGCACAGCTGTGTGCCGCCCGGCAGGGACATGGCAGGGACATCACGGTGCCAAGCAGCGTCCAAAGCTTTGTGCCTCTTACCGTTCCCAGAAGGCACTGAGACTCCTGAATAGCGCCGTAGCATCCCAGGAACCCCACGAACATCATGACGGCTCCAACCGCGATCAGGATGTAGATTCCTGCAAGGGAGAGCGAGAGGCAAACGCATTACTGCAGAGCTTTGTATGGCAGCACCCTAGCACCTGGTTGGACATGCTGGCTCCTCAGGACGGCTAATTAGGGATGTGCAGAATTAAGGCCTAGGAGATATGAGTAGAGGTGGTGGCAGACATAGTAGAACAACACGACATACACGAGTCAGATCTCAAAGTGTTTGAAGCTGCTAATACCGAAACTTAAAAACCCCGTCAGCCCCAAAATCAGAAGAAACGCAGAGAGCTTGAGCAGTAATAGGCAGAAGATGAAGCAGGCAAGACAAAGGCTTTACAGCATCCTCAAAGCTGCAGTATGGAAGTTCACCACGAGATTGGGGAGACCATGGTGATTACGCAGCCAAATGCTACCAGCTCAGTTAAATTTGTTTCCTTTTCCAAACCCACAGCTTTCTCCTGATGTATCCCATATATTCAGTGCATTTTTGGTTAACTAATATTCTTCAGTATTGTAGTTCTACTACTTTGTAAGTGAATCCTACTTCCCATCCAAAAGCAATTTGACACATGCAAAAAAAAAATCAAAGAAATAATTACAAATGAGGCAAGACTGCAGTCACCATTTTTAACTGACAGTGAGGAAAAAAAAAATGAGGATGAGAATAAATGTACATGGGGCATCCCAGAGGTAACAGCAATACAGTGCGTCTTGCTAGTGCTTGGGAGACACATCCCTTCACTTAAATGCTTTCTTTTGCTATGAGTCAAAATGTTTTTATAGTTATTAATCAGTCTGTCAACCCCCCTTTAGGAACAGCACTAAGTATAAGCAGAGCTCAAAATTAAAACTGCTTGTACATGCCCGTTATGTTTAAGGTTTTTCTTATCTTTGTCGCTTTTAAACAAACTTCTGATAATCAAAGTCTAAAGGCCATGCACTGAGAGCAGAGTTAAGCCAAGTTAAACCCTTCTCTAAAAAAACCAGATACATAACAACAGTCTCGACTTGTTTAAAAATCCCCTTACAGACATGTCAAACTTGGCAAAGAGTCAACTTTGGCTCCCACTTATTCCCTCTTTAAAACAAAAGTCACCAGCACCCAAACAACACAAGCACCAATGCAAGGGCCAACTCGGCGAGAGGCCAGCAATGGAAACACCGCCCCAGCAGCCACGGCGCTGGGACCGTCCAGACAGTGTTTCTCATCAGCACTGTGCTTGCACAATGCCTGCCGCTATATTTAGGAGCCGCAGGAGGGAGGAAGCCAGCTGCAGGGGAAGCACCAGCACAATGGAGCACGCTGACCCCGCAGGAAGCCCCTCTTCACAAAACCTGACGGGCTCTGCGGCCAGTGACACCCAACATCCTGGCGGCAACATTGCCAGCAGGAGGAAAAAAGCGCAAGTTGCACCTCTTGATGCCGCTCAAAGGGGCTTCAGCAGCGCCCTGTAGCGACAAAACCCCAACAGTCAATTGGGTTGTTGAAGCTCCCTACGAGGGGACAGGACAGGACAGGACACCTTCTTCCTCTTGATGCCGCTCAAAGGGGCTTCAGCAGCGCCCTGTAGCGACAAAACCCCAACAGTCAATTGGGTTGTTGAAGCTCCCTACGAGGGGACAGGACAGGACACCTTCTTGCTTGAAGGTGCAAAGAGAGGGGAAAAACAAGCAAAAGAACCCCCCCCACCCCCCCCACCCCCAGGGGAGCTTCTTGGAAAGGACAGGTCAGCATTTCAAGTTTTGTGAGCCTGCCTGAAGTAGAATTTGGTGATTTTATCCCAACGTGGATGATGTGGGGGCGGTGGCAGCCGGGCAGAGAGCCAGCGTGCTGAGCAGCAGGATGGGGTGTACACAGGGAAGAGGGGCCCCAAAGGGGCTAGAGGTGATGGGAAGGCACGAACGCATCCTGTAAAATGAAGTCTGTCTGCTGGACGCCTGCCAAGCTCCAGAGAGACTGATGGAGATTTTCGGAGGCTACCTCACTGCTGTTTCAAGAAGAACAACGTATCAGTAGTGGTCTCGCAGAAATGGTCTGCTTACTGTCACCAGAATCTGCTAACGCCCAAGAACCAGCCCTCACTGCTCCAGCTTGTATCAGTGATGCTGCTGGTTTAGCTTTTCAACCCAAACTGCATCAGGTTTTTCCATCTTACAGCTTTGGGTGGCTCCACTGGAGAGTCTTCATCAAAAGTCCCTCTGGGAAAATCAACTTTGCTCACCCCTGAGTGCAGCAGCTTCTGACTTCTCCTCACATTAGGTCAAAAGAGAGAAGACAAAGCTGGGCCGGGGGCAAGTCATTTCAATGTCTGAGAAGCCACCATTCATGCTAACCACCCTGGTAGATGGGGAGCTTGTTCCAGTGAATGATTGTTCTCACTGTAAAAAATGTCTTTCTTGTATTGAGATCATCAGGAAAATGTAAGAGTCACTGGCAGCTAGGAAAGTTTTGCTCAGAAAACTAGGAGATAAAAGCCCAGTGAGAACCTCGACTGACAGAGGAGACTAAGACGGAACAGAGACATTTGCCATTTTATAGAAGTCTTCCAGAGGCCTCTGTACTTGCTTCTTGCTGGGATTTGTGCAGCTTCAAAAAAACAAAACCAAACCTGACCTGCTG